AAACCCTGAACCCCAAAACCCCGAACCCCAAAACCACCCAAATTCCAAATCCCGAACCCCAAAACCCTAAACCCAAATCCTGAACCCCAAAAACACCCGAACCCAAATCCTGAACCCCCAAAAACATCTAAACCCCAAAAACCTGAACCCCCAAAGCACCCAAATCCCAAATCTTGAACCCCAAAAACTCTTGAACCCCAAAAACCCCCTGACCACACACCCTGAACCCCAAAAAACCCCTAAACCCAAAACCCCCTGAACCCAAATCCTGAACCCCAGAACCCCAAAAATGCCCTGAACCCCAAAACCTGAACTCCAAAAACCTCCTGAACCCCAAAAATACCCAAGCCCCAAAAATCTCCTCAACCTGAACCCCAAAACTCCCTGAACCCCCACCCTGCCCCCCACAGCTCAAGTTGGTGATTTTGGGGTTTTTTGGAGGTGATTTTGGGGTTTTTGGGGGCTGTTTATGGGGTAATTTTGATGTTGGTTTGGGGTATTTTTGAGGTGATTTTGGGGTTTTTTTGAGGTGATTTTGGGGTTTTTTGAGGTGATTTTGGGGTTTTTTTGAGGTGATTTTGGGGTTTTTTTGAGGTGATTTTGGGGTTTTTTGAGGTGATTTTGGGGTTTTTGGGGTCTATTTATGGCGTAATTTTGATGTTGATTTTGGGTATTTTTGAGGTGATTTGGGGGGTTTTTTGAGGTGGTTTTGGGGCTTTTTTGGGGTGATTTTGGGGGTGGTTTGGGGAGTTTTTTGGGGGTTTCCTGACCCTTTTTTTCCCTGCAGGTTCTTCCGCCTTCCGGGTGCTCGACACCGAGTTCTGATGTTGAGCAGGTGAGGCCCCCCCAGAATTTGGGATCAGCTCCCCCCAAAATTCGGGATCAGTCCCCAAAATCTGGGATCAGCCCCCCCAAAATCCGGATCCCAAAACTGGGGGGGGTGGGGCAGCATCTTTGGGAAATGAACCCCCAAAAAAACCCCAAAAAAAGAGAAAAATCCCAAAAATAAAATGATAAAAATTTAGGAGACCCCCCCTGGAATTGGGACCCCCAAAAACGGAGCAGCCCCACCTTGAATTTGGGGTTCAGACCCCCCCCAAAATTTCGGGGAGGGGTCCCTGAAAAGGGAGGGATGAATTTGGGGAGGGGGTTTCACCTTTTTGGGGTCCCCTTTGAACTCCTTCCTCTCCCCACAGCGCCCGGACTGCTGCTGCGCCCCCCAGGACCCCCCAGATTTGGGGCTGGGGTCCCCCCAAAAAACTCCACGACGTCGGGGACGCCCCAAAACTCCTCGTGGGGGGGGGTCCTTGGACTGCAGACCCCCCCCAAATCCCCCCTCCCCCACCTGAGGAACTGCTGCTGGATTTTGGGGAGGGGGTTCACGTGGGACCCCCATTCTGGGGGGGTCTGGGGGGGATTTGGGGTCCCCCCCGTTTTTTGGGGTCCCCTCCCCATTTTTGGGGTCCCCCCCATTTTTTGGGGGGGGTCTCCCCCCCCGGTTTACGTCGAGTTTTATTTTTTCAAGGCAATATTATAAATCAGAGTCTATATCGGCCCCTCCCCCCGGGGGCGGGGCCTGAGGGGGCGGGG